AAAAGGTTTACAAAGGTATTCCTAAGGCTCTGGGACTTCAGAGAACCACAGTGATTATCCACAAATGGAGAAAACTTGGAACAGTGGTGAACCACACAAGTGGCTGGCCTATCAAGTGCATATCAAAGACTCATCCAGGAGGCTACAAAAGAACAACATCACTGTAGACCTGTCAGTGCTCGTCTTTCAACAATAAGAAACAGACTGGACAAAAATGGCATCCATATATGACTTCCAAGGAAAAATAAACACTCCTGACCAAAAAGAACATGAAGACTCAGCTCACTTTTGCCAGAAAACACCTTGATGGTCCCCAAAAAAATATCCTGTCGACTGACGAGACTAAAGTTTGAACTGTTTTGGAGGGTTTGTGTCCCGTCACATATGGCAAAAAACTAACATAGTATTTCATAAAAAGAACGTCATACCAGTTTCTTTGGGGTAGCTCACCGCATCGTTTAAATATTAAGAAACTTCAAGCGAGTGCAAAGCAAGGAGGTTTTTCATTGCCTAATTTCCAATGGTATTATTGGGTGATGAACGTGAAACAACTTAGAGCTTGGTTATCTACTGCACCAGTTAAACCCATCTGGTCCCATATAGAGACGGAAGTTAATGGTGGTATTTCTCCTTGGAGGGAGCTGTTTGATACCAGTCATAAAACTATCCATCCTATAATTGCAAATGCGAAGACATTGTGGTGTAAATTACATAGGGCAGGTCGCTGGGACTTTATTAAATCACCTTCGGCAACCTTATGGGGGAATAAAAGAATTTTAATTGGAGGGACATCGGTTGACTGGTTACAGTGGCGTAAAGCAGGCATCCTTAATGTGTCAGATTTATTTGACTGTGGGACCAAATGTTTTTTAAGCTTTGATAAAATTGTGGAGTTATATAAGTTGAAGCGTAATCAATTCTGGAGATATGTCCAAATACATAGTTCATTATCGAAGTGGCTGGAAACCCCCTTGAGTTGTCCTGTGGGCAGCCCTGTGGAAGTCCTGCTCTCAAGATCACCCTTGGGTAAAGGCATTACCTCTAAGATTTATCGCTTATTGCAAGACCGGTCAGCTGACCCTCTCCCTAAAGTTAAGAGCTACTGGGCCCAGGACATGGCATTGGACACATCTTCAGTTGAATGGGATTCATGTTTTCAAAATGTTAATACTATGTATAAAGAAACAGGCAGTAGATTTATTCAACTGAAAACAATCCATAGGTGGCATCGAACACCGCAACAATTGTATAAATGGAACCTGGCCTCTACGGACGAATGTTGGAGATGTGATGGTCAAAATGCTTCGATTTTACATATCTTATGGAGCTGTTCGGCACTTCGGGATTGGTGGGAAAATATAATGGAGGTAATTTTCAGTGTTTTTCTCTCACCAAAACTGTCCATACTTGGTATAACCACAGAACTTTCTGATGGAGATTTTTCCAGTTATACAAAAAGATTTATTATTCTGGCTCTTACTACGGCCAAACAGGTCCTGCTAAGACATTGGCTGAGTTGGCGTCTTACGAAAAAGTGACTTATGGTTTATTAGACAAATTGCATCAATATGATTGTATTTGGCCCTTTACAAGCTGGCTTTCTGTAACTTGAAGAACAGAGGAGTAATGACAGAGTGGTGGTGTGGGGATTGGTGTGCGGAGAAAGAATAGGATATGTCTGTGAAGGTTCTCAGTCATCCAGGTCATCGTAGTCTAAGGAGCTTGCAAAGAAAAGCGTCTGGACTTCTTTAAGTTGCTTGAAGACGTTTCACCTCTCATCCGAGAAGCTTCTTCAGTTC